ACATTATGTTCGAAGTTCTATATCAACAAGTAGTTATAATTTAAATTAATTTAATATAAATATCTATCTATGCTTAAAAAATAAAAAAAAAATAAAAAAAGTTCACAACTTTTTTTTAAAAAATTAAATATTTTTTTTCTAAATTTCCTCTTTATTAATTTTATCTCGAATAATCTATCACTGAGGAAAAAAATTTAATGTTTGCAACTAAATTGTTTGGTTAGGCAATTTTGGTTCTTGTAACCAAATTTTGGTTGGCTGAAACAAAGTCATAGGGTTATCTCAACCAAACATTTGGTTAGGTCAACAAAATTATTTGGTTGACTATTTTTAAATTCCAACCGAAATTTAGTTACGACAACAAAATAATTTAGTTAACACAACAAAATAGTTTGGTCTAAGAAACCAAATGATCGTTTGTTGTCCTAACCAAAATTTGGTTGAGCTAACCAAACATTTTTGTTATGCCAACAAAAAACACTCAACCAAATTTTTTTAGTGACTCAAACAAATAGTTTGGTTGCTTAAATACCAACAAAATTTTTTTGTTGGCCCAACCAAATTTTGGTTGCTCTGACTAAACATTTTTCTCAGTGTATATATTCTAATTGCATAATTTTTCGATTATTTTACTCTCAACGTCAATAAATTAGAATAACAAAAAAAAGGAATATTTTCAATAAAAAATTTGACACCCTTTTTTCAAAAAAAAAATAAAGAAAATAAAAAAAAACCTCTATATTCAAATTAATTACAATCAAGTGTGCTATATATATATTTTTTTTTTCCACAATGTACTCATGAAAATTCATGACTGTATATCAAATTTCATCCGTTTAGATTAAAAATGATAAAATATCAAGGATTATGATATCTTTTTTTATTGTTTGAAAATTTTATTGTACTTTGAAAAAAATTGTGATTAAAAATTCTGACACTTAAAAAGAAAATGAATAAAAGGGTTAAATTTCAAATGTTTATATGAAAAATAATAAGTAATAATGATAGAAATTTTTTTTTTGAAAAATATTATAAAAGTTGATTTACATTCTTAGTTTGAGATTATGTTTTTAAGTTATTTTCTGTTTATAAAAGTTTTCATAAAAATAATTTTTATTATTTTTTTTAAAAAAGAGATTTTATAAAATTAATTCTTTTTATGGTAATGTTTCTAATAATAATAATAATAATAATAATAATAATATAATAAAAAAGTAGAGTGTTTTTTTCTTTGCATATAAAACTGTGTCTCAAAGGATTAAATTCCTGTAGATATATCATAAAATAATAATGTTAACATTCAGTACACTTATATAAGATTCTATATATATTTTAAAACATGTTTGATTCATTCATGAAAATTATTCTTTAATTTCTCATAAATATATAAATTTTAAAAATTAAATTTGAGAAGAATTTTTAGTTTTTAATAATTTAAAGTTGAAAGAACTGTGGGAACATTTTTATGAGAACTTTATGAAGAACAGGAAACAAACATATTTTATATACCTATGAATTTTATATTTGCACAGTGTGCTATATTCATTTCATATAAAGCATTCCTTTAAAAAGTCATTTGATATTAAAATAAAGATTGAACTATATATATATATATATATATATATATATATATAAACATTTCCTAAGTTTTAAAGAAGAATTTTGAAATATATACTTGATGGAAAGTTAAATATGTCTTTGATAATAAATTATCGATAAAAACTGAATTTATTATTTTAAAGGATAAATATAAGAAATGTTAAGTTAGAAGTTTGGTAAAAATTTTGAACAAATGTTATCTTTCCTTATTAAATGTAAATTAATTTTTGTTTTACGAAGTATTACGCTTTTTTATGCTGAAATTTTTAATTTATCCACTAGAGGGTGGAATGGTATTTCTCTCACAAGCGAGATTTCAAAACTAAAAAGTTTGCTTTTGGTACATATAGGTATACACTATTTTAATAAAATATTAACTATATCATATAGTTGAGTCTAACAAAATTTTAAACGAAGCTGAAGTACGCAACGTTTATGATAAACGATTTTTAAAGAAAATTTTTTTTAAAATAAACATTTCTATAATTTTTTGCCTAAAAAATATTTCTTGTATTTTTCATTAATCAAAAGATTCGTTCCAACATTGGAAAAAAGTACTTGTCAAAATAAATTCAACATTTCAGCCGTCAATGGGCCAATAATGGCCCAGTAATGAGACATAGTTCGTCTCAATTATGGAAAAGTAGAATTACCAAGTATTGGTGCCAATATTGGCCCAGTAATGTGACGGAGTTCGGCCCAATAATGGCAAATAAGAGTAACTGAGAATCGGTGCCAATATTGGCCCAATAATGGGACGAATTGATCGCCAGTACTGGTCCAGTAACGTTTGTCGTACTTCGACAGACATTACTGGGCCAATGTTGGGCCGTATTGGTAGTCTTGGCATTTCCCACATCAAAGATCGGCATGACAAAAAATTAATATAATCTTTTCGATAACTTATTAAATTCTCATTCAAATTTTTTTGCTTATTTTAATATTGTATATTTAATAAGGAAAAAGAATTTTTACCGTAAGACATTATATATAAAATGCGATTTCTTATAAAGTTTTCAAATCACCATAAATTAATATTGCTTTTGTAAATAGGTAAATCGATGTGACGCTTGACGGAACTATATATAAGTTTAGAAAAGTTAAAATTTTTAAAATGATTCTTTCAACAAAAAATATCGTGAAAAATGCAAAAAAAAAAAAGTTAAAAGAAAATTTCTTATATTAATATAAAAAATAAAAAGTGCTCTAAATCTTAAGAACTGCGTTGAAACTCGGTTTTTACTTTTTTTCTTTTTTTTTTTTGAAAGTTTACATCTTGTACAACTTACATTTAGAAACTTGACGTTAATTCTCTTGTTGAAACTATAACTTTATTTACTCTCTTTATATACGTATAGACACTTAGGACAATCTTTATTAAATTTACGATAAACGAGAATAAATTCGAAATGAAATAATCGTACTCTCTAAATATGAATCAGTGAAAAAGTCACTGGTCTCAAATCAGTCGCTAAATTCTAGCTATTTGAATCAGTGGTTTTCACTGACAGTTAGTGACATTTCACTGGAGAATCAATTACTTTGACTGAAAATCAGTGAAATTTTACTGATTCAAATAGCTAGAATTTAGCGACTGATTTAAGACCAGTGACTTTTTCACTGATTCAAATTTAGAGAGTATAGAAAATGTCTTGAAAATAAAAAAAAAAAAGTTGCTTTTAATTAAAAGAGTATTTATCGAACAACATTTTTTAAGATAAACGAAAGTTAAAAAAAAAAAAATTTAAATAAAGTTTTAAAACTATTTTAAGAAAAGAAAATTTTAAAACAATTTTAAGCAGTAAATTTTTAAACAACACTTTAAAAAAAATTAAACAATTTTAAAGAAGCAATATTTTTAAACGATTAAAATTTTTTTTTTTAATTTTTAACAATGGTTCAAAAATAAAATTATTAAACTATTTTAAACCGAATACAATTTTTTTAAAATTAAAAAAAAAAAATTCTTAAATTATATATAAAAAATTTTTTATCTATACAGTATAAAGAGGCTTACAAAAGAGAAGAATAAAGATGCCCTTTTCGTATTTTGTAAAATGAAAATTTTTAAACTATTAAAGGAAAAATAATTTTTTAACAATTTTAAAGAAATAATATTTTATAACTTATATATTGGGTTTTTATGCTCGTTTGTATCTTTTTATAAAATAAAATAAATTTTTAAACAATTAAATTTTTTTTTTACTATTTTAAAAAATTAATTTTTCAAATATTTTTAAAGAATAAAATTTTTTAAACTATTTAAAGAATATACATTTTTTAAAACAATTTTAACAAAAACAATTGTCAAAAAAAATTTTTTTAAATAAAATTTTTAAACTATTAAGAAATAAATTTTTTTAAACAATTAAAAAAAAAATTCTAAATTATAATAATAATTTTATAAGCCCGTTTACATTGTTTTATTTATTTATTCATTTCAGACGGGTAGTAATTACACTGCCCATTAGTACAATGTACTGAATATTACAAAAAAAAGAATTACAGTAATTATTGTGTAAAATAAAATAATTTTTTTTAATCGAAGAAAATCGTTATTATTATTATTATTATTATTATTATTATTATTATTATTATTATTAGAAACTTTACGATACAAAAAAAGGATTTTTTTTAATAATCAACAATAATTGAAAAATTATCCTGAAGCTTAATTAAAAAAATTAAATACAAAAAAAAATGAGATTCATGAGCCAAAAGTTTTTAACGTTCAAATGAACAAAATTTTTTTTTGCAACTTCTTTAAGCACCAATTTTATTATAAAATATTGTTTCAAAATTGTAAAAAGAAGTTATTTAATTTAATAGTTGTTTAATTTACTGTTTTAATTTACATTGACAACATAATTTTCAATAATTTATAGATTGAAAAAAATATTTCGTTCATTTGAACGTTCAAAATTTTTGGCTCATTGAGATTCAAGATTAGTTCAAAAAAAGTTAAAATTAAAAAAAAAGAAATTTTTTTTTTAAGAAAATAGCTTATGTGAAAAATTTTTTTATTATACATATTTAATAAATAAAATAAAAATAGTTAAATCGAAAAAAATTTCTCTCAATAATAAAATAATTTTAAATTTAAAGCACTTAAAAAATAACTGTTTTTATTGAATTTTAAAAACAATAGAGACACGTTTATCGCATTTATAAAAATAATACAATTGAAATGATGAAAGAAAATAAAGCACATTGAACCGTATATACATATATATATATACACACACTATATATCATTTAAAATTAAAGTTGACTTATATTTACATTTCACGCGGTAAGTGAAAAATCACGTTTCTATATTGAAGAAAATTAAAAAATAAATGAAAAAGAGAAAAAAAAAATAGTGTTGAGTGTTAGGGGGAAAAAAAATTATTTGAACTTACCTGTGCGAGAGGGCGAAGAACCTGTGGGGTCAACAGGTAGCGATGTAAACAGAGGGGGTAGTTTATGTTGACAGGCCTAATTGGAGGCGGAGCGCCGTTATGTTAGTCACAGTTTTGTGTGGTTAGAGTCCTGGACCAAAATGGGAATCACGCCAAGTGTTTCTCTCTGGATAGCGTGTGTGTTTTGTAACCGTGGATATTATCTCTCTCTGTCTCTGTCTCTTTCTGTCTTTCAATAAACGTGTGTCTAACCGGTGTTTTCGACCAAGTCAGGAAAACGGACGAGCTAGCTCTGTCCGGTTCTCCTTTGCTGTATCGGGTGCTATCCTCATAGAACGCAGCGACTGCGCTTTACCGTGAACCTCTTCCACCTTGCTTCCTTTGCTCCTGTTTATCTTTTACTTCTTGTATAATATATCTGCATACATTATTCTATATATTATATACATATATATCCTGATGCGATTATGACACCTGTATACACGCGGTTTGTCTCGGTATCTCATTAACATTTTTATGTCCCTTGCGCGCTTTTACAACTAATCCACAAGGATACCTATCTTATATATAAGAAAATAAGTTGATGACATTTTTCTTAACGATGCGAGTCAAATACTTTTTGAAAAGAAGTTTGAAAAACTCTGATTGAGTTATATTCGCCTTCTATAAAAAAAAAAAACTTTTGGGTACTTATATTTTTTTTCTATACACGAGAGAAAAATAATAATATTTTTCATGGGAATTTTGTGAAAACTTTTTTATTACATATAGTTATGAATAAAATTGGAATATAGATAAGAAAAATTTATTTTCGAGAATAATGTGAAACGAAAATAAGGTAAAATTAAATTAATATAAAATAAGAAAATATAAAATAATTTTCAATGTAATGGAAAATATTTTTTGATGAAGTTCACATAATGTCAACGATTTAGCGAAAAACTGTCAAACATCAGCAGAAGTTAAAGAACTCGAAATTCACCAAAATTCCCTAGGTATCACTAGGTTATATACAGGGTTGAGTAAGTAATATACCTAACCTACGCGTAACTTTTAAGATTTTCGATATATTTTACGTAAAATACTCACTGTAAAAAAAGTCAGTGTTATTTTACATCGTATTACGATGAAAATTTTGTGCACACGTTAAACCTGTGGATTTAGGCAGCGTCTACAATAGATTAAAAAATGTGTAACGATCGTGTAGTGTAGTGTAAAGTCGTGACTTAAGGTGCTTATATACCTCAAATTTCGATCAGATGAACATTATTTCTGGACCGTGAAAATGCGTGAAAAGTCATTTTCACGGCGGGTATTTTTGAATTGTTTTAAACAAAAAATGTTTTTTTTAAGAAATATAATATTAAATAATTGTTTTAATATGTAAGAACACTTTAAAATAGTGATAAAAAGATGATTTGATTAAAAAATTTAGCAAATTTTGCTTTAAAACGTTTCTGCTACAAGAAAGTGTAAAATGACGATGTTTGTGAAATGGTTTGTACAGTGTACATGTGTACATGTTTCTTTCAGTTATTCGAAACAATTAGTTGAATTTAAATTTATTTGATAAACATTTCAACTTACCGATTTATTTTCAGCACTCATTATTTATTACAAGTTAAAAAGAACCGACATAACATAAACAAAACTCTGAGAGACACTAACAAGGAAGAAGCACTGTACAAACCATTTCACAAACATCGTCATTTTTCACTATCTTGTAGCAGAAAACGTTTTAAAGCAAAATTTGCTAAATTTTTTAATCAAATCAACTCTCTATCACTATTTTAAAGTGTTCTTACATATTAAAACAATTATTTAATATTATATTTCTTCAAAAAACATTTTTTGTATAAAACAATTCAAAAATACCCGCCGTGAAAATGACTTTTCACGCATTTTCACGGTCCAGAAATAATGTTCATCTGATCGAAATTTGAGGTATATAAGCACCTTTAGAATATTGCAAATTAACTGCTGCTATTAATAAACAAAAACATAACCTCAAATTCAGATTTTTAATATTAAAAATTAAAATTAATAATTAAATTAATATTAAAAATCTGAATTTGAGGTTATGTTTTTGTTTATTAACAGCAGTTAATTTGCAATGTTCTAAGTCATACAAGATACACGACTTTACACTACACTACACGATAGTTACACATTTTTAATTCTATTGTAGACGCAGCCTTACATGCGTATAGCGTGTTAAGGGAATTTTCATGCAGTATGTAATATAACACCACCTGTATGTTTTTTCTTATTTTGAAAAATAACCATCGGCAAACCATTAGTTGAATTACACACTGCATGTTTGTTCCATGTGGCGTGTTATTCTCCCTTGGCCATATGTAATAAGGTTTTTCATATTCATATTCACTTCGGCCATTCGCATTATGTTATCGCTGGCGTTCGTTTGTTTTACAAGTGATTTTTAGGGTTTCGTGGCCCATGGCCGAAAGCCTTATAGTTTCACTTTGGCGTCCGTCTGTCCGTAGTATATTTTGGGGCACCACAGCTCCCAAATCAAATTTTAGGGCACAGATCCCAAATTAAAATTTTGGGGCACCAGAGATCCCAAATTAAAATTTTGGGGGCCCACAGATCCCAAATTAAACTTTTGGGGCACCACAGATCCCAAATTCAAATTTTGGGGCCCCACAGATCCCAAATTAAACTTTTGAGGCACCACAGATCTTAAATTCGAATTTTGGGCAAACATAGCTTCCAAATTCGAATTTTGGGGCACCACAGATCCCAAATTAAAATTTTGGGGGCCCACAGATCCAAAATTAAACTTTTGGGGCACCACAGATCCCAAATTCAAATTTTGGGGCCCACAGATCCCAAATTAAACTTTGAGGAACCAAAGATCCCAAATTCGAATTTTGGGCAAACATAGCTTCCAAATTCGAATTTTGGGGCACCACCGATCCCAAATTAAAATTTTGGGGGCCCACAGATCCCAAATTAAACTTTTGGGGCATCACAGAACCCAAATTCAAATTTTGGGGCCCCACAGATCCCAAATTAAACTTTTGAGGCACCACAGATCCCAAATTCGAATTTTGGGCAAACATAGCTTCCAAATTCGAATTTTGGGGCACCACAGATCCCAAATTCAAATTTTGGGCAAATATAGCTTCCAAATTCGAATTTTGGGGCACCACAGATCCCAAATTCAAATTTTGGGGCACCATAGCTCCCAAATTCAAATTTTGGGGCCCCACAGATCCCTAATCTCCATTTACTGAATGGACATTTTCCCGAATGGACATTACATGTCCCATTAGTTAACATGCCCCTATAATTGACATGTCCCAGTAGTTCATCTGTCTCAGTAATTGACATGTCCCTATAGTTGACATGTCCCAGTAGTTGACATTAAAATTTAAAGCGACACGAAACCCTAGATGTAGGCGCAATTGCGCCTAGTTCTTTTCCTATTTTTCTGATTTTGTTTTGCCAAAAACTGAAACACAAAAGTACTGCAGACTATTAAATTTTGCTTTAAATGTTTAATTATATTGTATTGTAATATTTTTATAAAAAAAGTTCTGTAAGAAAATCGTTTTTAAGAAAAGTTGCGAGAATTACGAATTCCAATATTTAAAAACATTTTAAATAATAATTTAATTCTGTAAGAAAAAAAAATATTCGATCGATTTATCAGATTTTGTTTCCTTTAATTAGAATATAATTATTGTTAAGAAAAAAGAGAAAGAAAAAAAATTTACAAGCAAATGGTATAAATACAACATTTGTAGGTTATATTACATGCATAAGTTGAATTACATGATGCATATGTTTTTCCAAAAATATATATTCACTTGGAAAAACATGCAGTGTGTAATTCGACAGATGGTTATATTTGAGGGATGTGAAAAAATATAGAGGCTATGTTCGATTACACGCTGCATGTCAATCCACAGGTTTAACGATGTAAAATACTGACTTTTTTTTACAGTAAGCTCGTCAAAGGTCAACGTATTATAGAAACGTAACGTAACCGTAAACGCAACCGGCATAATGAGTTAGAGAAGGACAAACAATATGTCACTGGTCTATCCTTCTCTGACTCATTCTTTCGATTGCGTTTGCAATTACTTTTCCGGTTACGTTTCTATTCTGCTCAGGCCTTAATGTTGATTCTACACTCACTTAAAACTGCGCGAGCAGTCCGCTCTCTAAATTTGAATTAGTAGAAAACTACTAATTCAATAGCGAGAATTGAGCAATAACTAATTGAAAATAGTTAAATTCTACTGAAATATCAGTTAAAATAACTAATTGACAGTTAAATAATTTGAGGTTATGTTTGAAAATAACTGAAATATTAGTAGATTTCGTTTCATTATTGTTTCAGTAACGTTTTCTACTGATAATTAGTGGAATTTAACTAATGTTTCAGTTATTTCTTACTGTCAATTAGTTAATTTTTACTAATTAATGTAGCGAGAATTAAGCCAGGTTTTGACTGCTAATCAGTAGTTTTCTACTAATTCAAATTTAGAGACCGCTTTTCCGTGACGCTTCCTATATTTAACTGTATCTATATAGGCCAACGCACAATAGATTCGCGAAAGTCGTTCGCGAACGAGATGCATGAGATAGAAAAGGATACGAATATATCTCTGTCCTTCTCTAACTTATGTTTCACGTTCGCGAAGCTATTCTGCTTAGACCTTTAATCTAAAAAATGTAACGGAAAATCGAAGGAACCTTGAACTCGGGAAATGTAGAATGAGCATAATTTACACGACAATAAATATGGCGGCAAAAGGGCACGTTTAGACCTAACCTACAAACGTCAAACAGAAATACCAAAGACCTGGATTAATCTGCAAATTAAGGGTATGTGGGCAAAGGACGTTTTTTTTGTGGTTTGAAACTTTCTCTGAAATAAAAAATGATTTCGGGTTAAAATTTTGGAAAAATGATTTAGTTTGGTACAAGAAATCTCGCTATTTTTCTCATTTACTATAACTTAATCCGAAAATAATAAAAATAAAGCAATAAATAGTAAAATAATGTATTTAATCGTAGTTCATTCAGCGGCCACTCACTCGAATTGGCGCTGTTTACTGGAGCACTGATACACTCAAGCAACGTCTGTGTATGCGCCGCCATCTTTCTTTTCATTTTCGTTTAAAAATTAAACTTTTTAAACATCATTTTTTAATAATTTAACTCAAAATTATGTATTTTTCGGTGAACAGCGAGATTCCTTGTACCCTAATCTATCATCCCTCAAAATTTTAGACAAAAATCTTTTCTCATTTTAGAGTGAAATGTATACTAC